GTGAGACCCTCGACCAGCAAAAAGCTTATGACTTGCTGAAAGCTCAGACGATGGTTAGCATTTGCTGAAATGCAGAGACCGATATATATATATATATATTTTTTTTTAGCAATCATGTATTCTTTTACATAAACTCTAGGCCCAACATGGGGCTTGATCTCATGACCCCAAGATCAAGAGTTGCATGCTCTCCTGACTGAGCCAGCCAGGCACCCCAGCAATAAAGTATTTTTTTATACAAAAAAATACATTTTTTTTTAGACATAAAGTTATGGCACACTTACTGGACTGCAATATGGTGTAAACTTAACTTTTATATGTACTGGGAAACCAAAAAAATTTATTTGACTATCTTTGTTGTGATATTCACTTTATTGTGGTGGTCTGGAACCAAACCAGTGATATCTCTGAGGTATGCCTGTAGTTAACACTCAGTAAATGGTACATATAAAACAGCTGTGTAAGTAGGGCCTAAAGAAAGTGAGAAGATTAGTTCGTCCCAAGATTTAGATGTCTCACATCCCAGGAGACTGAGGAAATTGCATTTATCACAAAAGAGTCAGAGCTGAAATGTTTGAGAAAAGAATATAAGAGATGTTGACAAATTTTCCAAACATAAAACAGGTAGGGTATGAGATGGATAGATCAGGAAGTTTGACTTCAATGCACAGCACAATTCTGGAACAGTAAATTAAGCAGATGGTTTGTGATCATTTAGTAAAGATTGTAGTGGTTGCTAGGAACCACCATGGGTTTACTAAGAACAAATCTTCCCAAACGTTCCATTTCCCTTTTATATAGTATTATGTGGTGTGTAAGACTGAGGAATGCCATTTCAGCAAGGAATCTAATTGTCTCCTTATGGATAAGATGGTAAAATATGGGCTAGATGATAGTCCTGCTGGGTGTACAGCTTGATAGCAGTGAAAGTCAGTTGATTCGTGTCATGGTTATCTTGATGGGGGTCTCTGGTGTAATACCAGAGGCCAGCTCTGACGGGTAACGTTCCCATTTAAGACTTGAGGAATTTGGATCAAGACATATGGGTTGAGAGGCACCTGGGTGGCTCAGTCGGTTAAGTCTCCGAATCCTGATTTCAGCTCAAGTCATGATCTCAGGGTTGTGAGGTCGAGCCCTGTATCGAGCTCTGTGCTGGACATGGAGTCTGCTAAGATTCTCTCTTTCCCTCTCCCTCTGCCCCTCCCTGCTCGCACATGCGCACTCTCTCGCTCTCTCTCTCAAAAAAAAAAAAAAACCTATGGAACGGATGTGTACCAACAAAATATGTAGATGGCCCAAAGTTGAGAGGGACAGTAAATATAATAGATGGGAGAATAAAAATTCAGAATAGTCTTGATCATCTGAAGCACCGCATGGAACCCCAAACGATTGAATTTAATGAAGCTAAAGAGAAGACTTGAAGCTCAAAACTCAAGACAGAAAAAAAAAGATCTTGTTTAGTAGAAGTTCAGGTAAAACTGATCTGGTTATTTAATTGACCCAACACTTAATATTCATTCATTCATTCATTCATTCAACAAGTATGTATCGAAAGTACTACCTGCTGTGCACTTTTCTTGGCATTAGGGAGACGGTAGTGAACAAAATAGTTAAAAATCCCCACCTCTGTGGAGCTTACACTCTTTAGGTGCCAACGGTTGAGCAACTGCTTTAAAAAAAAATGAACCTAATATTAGGCTTCATTTGCAAAAGTATAACATCCACTCACGATGGTTAATAGTTCACCTCTCTTATTTAATACCCTATTCTTGGTGCTATAATTTATACTGGGATCGCTGCGCTCAGTTTTGGACCAATGAGAGTGGCAATAGGATGAGCGTAATGTAAAACATGGCGGAGAAGGACTGATCGGCCAGACGGAGAGAACACTAAGCAGATGGTGTATCCCTCCAGTATTTGCAGGAGTATGAGAAGAGGGTGTCAGCTTGTTCTCTGTCACTCCCAGGAGTCACTACTCATTACAAGGAGGCTGATTCCTGGTACATAGAAGAAAGGCTGGCTGGGAGGTGTCCTTACTGTAGCTGGAAGCCCACCTGTGTGAGCTCCACGAGGGCTAACTGCTCTTGGGGCTCCTGGCGCAGTGCCTGATACATGGTGGGCGCCTGCGGGGGGATGTTCCTCTGATGTTTGTAAAGACAACCTAGGTACCCAATGCTAAAACTTGAAGCTTGGTTTTTGTATATCTTAAGAGTCTGAGGGTGGAATAATGTACCTAAGAACAGCTGTTGGAGGCCAGAATGTTTTCTTCTATCACGTTCTAACATCCACAAGTTAGTTAAGCCACTTTTCTGACATTTCAGAGGCCATGTGAGGATTTCTTTGAAATTCTGCAGTATGCTTATTCAAACATCACCCATCCACCACGATGCCCATCATGTTTTGAGGCCTTCGCTGTACTTCTGGCTCATCCGGGGTCTTGCTTTTTTCTAAACTTCACGGCAATGCTACAGAGTTTAGCATTTAATTTTTTCCTAACTGCTTCGTGGGTCTCTCCATCTAGGTGATCTTATTTTATATTTTTCTCGTATTCTTCCAGAAGCAGAGTAGAAACTCAGTACATGATAACTGCTTGACTGCTTGAGTTATTAGTGGAGGGGGAGAGTCAGGAGCGGTATCATTCCAGCCACAGCAAGGACTCATGTAAGAATGGCAGGTTAAGTAGACTTTAATTTCTCTATCCCTTGCATCCAAAGAAGGGATTATGTTCTTGATTTATTAGAGTCTCCTACTTTGGCTGGGCAAGTGCTTTGCACAGAGTTGATTCTTTGTATATAGTTGAATCTGTGTTAATGGCTATACTCCAGGGCTCAAACAGCCTTCTTGGTTCAACCTCTGAGGGGAGGTGGGACGGCAGGTACAAATCTCTAAGCTTAGTTTAGAGGCTCGTTGACTGTGATTTATGTAACCAGGGTGGCCAGATTTAGCACGTGAAAATGCAGGCTGCCTAGTCACTTTTGAATGTCACATAAATAACAGTGCAATATTTGGGATGTACTTACACTGGAAAAAGTATTTGTTGTTTATCTAGAATTAAACATAACCGGGTGCCCAGCATTTTATCCAGCAACCCTTCATGTAAACCCCACTATTTCATATCCCCCCGTAAGTCTAAGCTTTTCGTGAACCCCCAAATTAACCTCACTAAAAGAAAATGTTTGTGCCCCTGGAAATGACTCTAATTGGAAATTTTTAAAAGTTAAAAAACTGGGACCGTCCATATGCTGTATACTTTTTGTGGTCATAATTCTTTCAGGATATCCAATAATGATCATTCCATAAATGTCTAGGATCTCAGCAGTCCTAACTTAATTTGTCATGGTTTCCTTGGTAGCATAGTTTACTCGGTTCCTATGATATACTATTATTATATTATCTATATAATATTATTATATAAATTACTTATATAATTTGAGTATTATTTTGCTCAGGTAGCAAAGTAACCACTGCTAACAAGGAAATATTAGGCTCTGCGCACGGGAGTCAGATGAAATGTGAATTTCATGTAATCTGTCATCTCCGCTCCCACAAACACCCGCGTTGACTAATCAGAGCTGTGGAAAACATTGCCGCCCTCCAGTAGGTGTTTTGTTCTCTTCTCTCGTCTGCTCAGAGGGAAGATAATATTCTGGTTTGTTCCACCTTATCAATTCCTATTTGAGGAAAAGACAGCTCACACTTAGGAAAATTGCCTCCATTTTTCCCTAAGTAAATAATGATTCTTGCTGTTGAGTAGGGACAGCCGTTAAATATCATTCATTCATTTAGCCGATATTTATTAAGCAGATGGATGCTAGGTATGAGGGGAAACAAAATAAGTAAGTAGTCCCTGCTTTCGGGTTTGGGGGAATCTGCATATGGAATGCTTGCTTTTGTATGGTTCAGCAGTCATTTCAGTGAAAGACTTTTGGTAAGAGTTCATTAGCTCGTACTTGGAGTAGTGAAATGATTCTTCTCTCAAATGCTTTAAAATAAATAGCAAGCCTTATCTTCTGAGCAAAAGCTACTCTTAATGGGTAGTTCCAGGGGCTGGCATTAGGCTGTTTCCCTCTCTCTCGTTTCTGGAGTCAGGACTTTGCTACTCAACTCAGACCAGAAACCTCAGCATCTCCTGGGAACTTGTTAGAAATGCAGACGCTCCAGCCTGCCCCAGCCCCACTGGACCAAAATGGGCAGGGCAGCCGGAATCCGTGTTGGCTTGCGTGCACACTGAAGCTTGAAAATCACGGGGTTGACTACCGAATTTCTGCTTTGTGCCTACAGATCATCTAAGGGTCATACTGAACCAGTTCCTGGGCTCTGCCCTCAGGGATTCAGGATCTGTTTGACCAGGGTGGGGCCTGAGAATTTGCATTTCTTTTTTTTAAATTTTATTTTATTATGTTATATTAATCACCATACATTACATCATTAGTTTTTGATGTAGTGTTCCTTGATTCGTTGTTTGCGTATAGTACCCAGTGCTCCATGCAGAACGTGCCCTCTTTAATACCCATCACCAGGCTAACCCATCCCTCCAACCCCTCCCCTCTAGAACCCTCTGTTTGTTTCTCAGAGTCCATAGTCTCTCATGGTTCGTCTCCCCCTCCAATATCCCCCCCTTCGTTTTTCCCTTCCTACTATCTTTTTTTTAAAACATATAACGTATTATTTTTTTCAGGGGTACAGGTCTGTGATTCATCAGTCTTACACAATTCACAGTGCTCACCATAGCACATATCCTCCCCAGTGTCCATCACCCAGCCACCCCATCAGGAGATGCCTGCTCGTGCTGTGTCTGGGAACCACATTTTGATTGCAGCGGTCTAGTTGACCTTTGGTAGTGGTGGTGACTAGAACCCCAATGAGGGGTCAGTCTGGTTTTCCTCTGCCTGGACTGGAGTCATGGACGTGACCGTGAAGCTAATGACGTCTGTTTTTAAAAGTTTTCGTGCCTCACTATACTCACTCTTCTGTTTGTGTGTGTCTTTTTTCTCTTTCAGGATTAAGCATGAAAACATTGTCGCCCTGGAGGACATTTACGAAAGCCCAAATCACTTGTACTTGGTCATGCAGCTGTAAGTACCTGCTTTGCCTGAGGAGTGCAGAAGGGGGTCGGGGGGCGGTGGGGACTGCCGGCCGGTAAAAGAAACTGAGGTAGCGTGCCAGGTGAGCCGTGGGAGTGGGAGCGGGGCCCCGGGGAGCTGGGGTGCCCTTCTAGACGGCGGGCCAGACACTGAGTCTGCGGGCCTGGCCGGGTCTGCAGGTACTGCACCAGACTGATGATCTTTTGCCCTCATCGAGGAGCCTGCTGCGGCCGTTGCAGGGCGCCTCCATTCGGGGGGTTTCTTTTGCTTTTCCATGTGCGAGGTCCACATGTTGCTTCCTGAAAACACTTCTGTGGGCCCACTGCGAGGGACACTCTGCTCCCGTCTCTAGGAGAAACTCCCACCTTGTCTTCATTTCGAGGGATGCTGGGGGAGGGCGGCAGATGGTAGCTGTGGGCTCCGTCCTTCCATCTACTCTGCCGGCACAGAAACGCACATGGGACTGAACTGGATCTTGTGCCAGGCGTGAGACAAGTCTAGTTGGGGTCGGACCTTGACATTGTCACCCCCTGCAGATGATTTCTGCATTCCAGTAAATGCTGGAAGTTACCAGAAGAGGGAGGAAATAAGAAAGCTGAATATTCAAGTTGAACCTTGACCCGAACATGTAAGACACTGTAAACATAACATGTAAACCGTTAAATGAAATTAGCCTCCCCTCCCAACTAGTAGGTTTTTTCTTTCTTTCTTTCTTTCTCTTTCTTTCTTTCTTTCTTTCTTTCTTTCTTTCTTTCTTTCTTTTTCTTTCTATCATGAGAGTTTTTATAGGACATTGTAGGACATTTTTGTACGAACATTTTTAAAAGTATCCAGACTGGAAGCATGTGGACGATTTTTCTCTGTCAAGTGACTGTCCTAGGTGGTGACTGATGTAGGAAAATGTTGGGGTTCAGAGCTGAAGGCCAAGAAGGAATTCTTGAGATGTCTTCCATGCAGAAAGGTGGTTTTATTAAAGCACCGGATAGGACCCCTGGGCAGAAAGAACTACCCTGGGGTTGTGACGGGACAGCACAAGCCTCCAAGGTATTTTGGAAACAAGGTTTCCAGGATCCTGAGGGGGCTGGCTGTTGTTAGGAAAAGGTCATTTATGACTGTTTAGTAAAAATTCAGTCATGAGACTCTTCAGATGTCTATCAGTGGGCTTGGAGAATGATTGCCAACATGTATCTTGGGAGGGTAGAGACAAAGGAAGTTTCCAAAGGAATTTTTATAATGTTAATGTAGACTTCCAGGATCTGGGGGCGTTGGGCTAAGATTGCCTCTTGCCCTAAGCAAAGTATTAACATCCGGGCAGCTGAGTTCCTAGACGAATGTCACTGCCTGTTCTAAGGACTTGTCGATGGGCTGTAAGTAGTAAGGAAATATAATTTTTTTTTCTTTTGCCTGTGTTTCCCACATCAGTGACCAGTTTCATAGCTTTGGGTGTTAGTGTCAGCCATGAGACTGGTGGTTTAAGCAGTTTTGACTGCTGGTTCCTCATTAATTTCTGATTACCTAACTGCCGTCTTTCCTAGTTCCTTGCAATAGTTTGTTTTATAATTTGCCACATCCTGGTTCTTCCTTGAGAGCAATAGCTCTCACCAAATTTGGGATGCTCCCTAGCAGGCTCTTGTGACTTTATTTTATATAGTGTTAAAAAACAAAATTCAACCTAGTAAATATGAAGATCTAGTTGGCTTTATTAAATGATTCATAAGTGGGGCAAGCATCCCATCTAGCAAGTAGAGAGCTCCACTGAGCTAAACGAAAGGTTTTTAAAGGCAAAGAGAGAGCATTGACAAAGGGGGGATAAAGGAATTTATTAGCAAGGAATGCATTGCTTAGGCAAGGTTGCCCTCCTAAAGGGAATAGAGGGATTTACCCTCTCTCTCGCAGTTATCCTAAAACCTCCTCAATATGGGTCATGTTCGCTCAGAATTTGTAATAACCCAGAGGAGTTGGGCTAGAATTAACTCTTGGGGGTACCATATGAGGTTTGTGAGGCGAGTTGGTGACAGAATCCTGATCTAGAGGCAAGGAATGTTTAAAGTGTTTAAGGAGAACACGATCTACGCGCACTGTTGAGAAGTTTAGAGGCGCTATTTACAAAAATCTTGGATTTGCTAATTGTCAGCTGTTAACTTGTGTATAAATGCTTTTTCCATTGGTTCTCATTCCTTTTTTCATTTTTTATTAGTTTTTTATTTTTTTATTAACATATAATGTATTATTTGTTTCAGGGGTACAGATCTGTGATTCGTCAGTCTTGCACAATTCACAGCGCTCACCATAGCACATACCCTCCCCAATGTCCCATCACCCAGCCACCCAATCCCTCCCACTCCCCACCACTCCAGCAACACTCAGTTTGTTTCCTGAGATTAAGAGTCTCTTATGGTTTGTCTCCCTCTCTGGTTATGTCTTGTTTCATTCCCCCTCCCTTCCCCTGTGATTGTCTGCCTTGTTTCTCAAATTCCTCATGTCAGTGAGATCATATGATAATTGTCTTTCTCTGACTTATTTCGCTTAGCATAATACCTTCTAGTTCATTCCTTTTTTAAAAAATCAACGTTGTTGAGGTATAATTTACATCCAATTAAATGCACCCATTTAAAGTGAACAATTCAGTGATGAATGTGAGAGTGAATCATATGGCCCAAACCACTGCCATAATCAAAACCAGAAAATCTCCCCCACCCCAGAGACCCCTTTGGTCCTTTGACGCGCTCCCTTCCTTACCCCTGACACTGGAAGTTACCATTTATACTCATTAGAGATGATTTTGCATTTTCTAAAATGTTACGTGAATGAAATTATATAGCAATACATTTTGTGTCTGGCTTATTTCACTCATACTTACTGGCATTCATTCGTGTGGTAGCATGGTCCGTCGTTTGTTCTTTTTCATTGCTGAGTAATATTCCATCCTTACAACTAGTCCACATTTTATCCATTTGCTGTTGCTGGACATTTGGATTATTTCCAGTCTGGGGGCTATTATGAACAAAGCTGCTATGAACATTCACGGACAGCCTTGGTGTGGGTCTATGTTTGCGTGAAGACCTAGGAGCAGGATGAGGGGGCCGTAGAGTAGGGGTTAGGTTAAACTTTTTAAGAAACTGTCAGTTTTCCAAAGTGGTTTTACCATTTTACATTTTTGTCAACAGTGTATGTAAGTTCTTGTTACTGTACATTCCTATCAACACTTCATACTTTGTGTTTTCAATTTTAGCCATTTTAATGGGTGTGTAGTCGTGGGCGCCTGGGTGGCTCAGTCGTTCGTTAGGCGTCTGCCTTTGGCTAGGGTGTGGTCCCAGGGTCCTGGGATCAAGCCCCGCATCGGGCTCCCTGCTCGGCGGGGAGCCTGCTTCTCCCTCTCCCACTCCCCCTGCTTGTGCTCCCTCTCTCGCTGTCTCTCTGTCAAATAAATAAATAAAATCTTTAAAAAAATGTATTTAATGGGTGTCTCACGGTAGTTTTAATTTGCATTTCCCTGCTGATAAATGATGGTGATCACCTTCTTATATACTGATGGGCCGTTTGCATATCTTCTCTGGTAAAGTGTCTCTTCAGATCTTTTGCTCACTTTTTATTGGATTGTTTATCATCATATTATTGGGTTGTAAGTGTTCTTTATCATGTTTTGTCAAATATAGGTAATATGAATTTTTCTCCCGTTCTGTAGCTTGCTTTTTTTGTTTTCTTAATAGAGGCTTTTTTAAAAACTAGCTTTCTTGAGATATAGTCCACGTGCCATACAATTCATGCATTTAAAGTGTACGATTCAGAGGTTTTTGTTTTAGTCACAGGGTTGAACAGCCATCACACAGTCTAATTTTAGAACACTTTATGTTCTAAAGGAGAACAACTTCAAAAGATCCATACCCATTAGCAGTGACTCTCAGTTCTTCTCTCCCCAGCCTCTTACTTTCTGTTCCCATGGGTTTGCCTGTTCTAGATCAGATAATGTGTGGTCTTTGGTGACTGTCTTCTCTCATGTGGCTCCATGTTTTCAGGATTTATCCATGTTGTAGCATGTGTTGATACTTCGTTCCCTTTTATGGCCAACTAATATCCCACTGTATGGATATATCATATTTTATCTATCCATTCACTGGTTGATGGACATTTAGGTTGTTTATACTTTTCAGCTATTAATGATAATGATGCTAGACATTTCCACGTACAAATTTTTGTGTGACTGAATGTTTTCATTTCCCTTGGGTGTATACCTAGGAGTGGAACGGCTGGGTCAAATGGTAACTCTATGTTGAACATTTTGAGGAACTTCTGAACTGTGTTCCAAAGAGACTGCACCATTTTACGATCCCACAAGCAGTGTGTCAGGATTCCAGTGTCTCCACACCCTCTCCAAGACTTGTTTATTTTTTGTCTTTCTGTTGATAGCCATCCTTGTGGGTATGAAGTGATATCTCATTGCAGTTTTGATTTACATTTCCCTGATGACTAATGATGTTGATCATCTTTTCATGTGCTTATAGGACACTTGTGCATCTGTTTAAAGAAATATCTATTCAGATACCTTATGCATTTTTAAATTGGTTGGTTCCCTTTTGTTTTTGAGCTGTAAGACTTCTTGATATATTCTACTATAAGTCCCTTCTTAGACATACATTAGGATATTTTCTCCTGTCCTGTGGGTTGTCCTTTTACTTTGTCAGTAATATCGCTTGTAACCCCAAAGTTTTTAATATTGACGTAGTTCAGCTTATTTTTTTCTTTTGTCACTTATGCTTTTGGCATCATATCCAAGAAACCAACACCTAATTCTTCATGGCACCTTTTGAATAGGAAATGTTTTAATTGTGATAAAGTTCAACTCATCGATTTATTTTCTCTTATGGTTTGTGCTCTTTGTGTCCTGTATGAGGAGTCTTTGCCTACCCTAAGTTTGCAAATGTTCTTTTCTTCTAGAAGTTGTATAGTTTTAGTTTTTCTACTTAGGTCTGTTGTAAGACCAACTTCAAGTT